GATCTCAGCCTCCTGAGTAGCTAGGATTATAGGTATGAACTATTGAGACCTGGCTTTAAATTATGGTTTTACTTGTGTTTAATCGACCTCATTCGTGTGTGTGTGTGTGTGTGTGTGTGTGTGTGTCTATAATGGGGCTTGAACTCAGGGCCTCAGGCTTTCACTTGGCTTTTTTGCTCAAGGTTGATGCTCTACACTTGAGCCATATCTCCTCTTCCAATTTAAAAAAAAATTTTTTTTAATGGGAGATAAGAGTCCCATGGACATTTCTGCCTCGGTTGGCTTCAAAGTGAGATAATCAGATCTCAGCCTCCCAAGTAGCTAGAATTACAGGTGTGAGCCACCTGCATCTGGCCCTGGCCTTATTCCCTTTTTAAAGCCCCATGTGAACCAGGCACTGGTGGCTCGTGCCTGTAATCCTAGCTACTCAGGAGGCTGAGATCTGAGGGTCAAGGTTTGAAGCCAACCTGGGCAGGAAACTCCATGAAACTCTTATTTCCAATAAACTACTCAAAAAAACCCCAAAACTGTAAGTAGTGCTGTGGCTCAAGTGGTAGAGTGCTTATCTTGAGCAAATGGGACAGTTCCCAGGTCCAGAGTTCAAACCCCAAGACCGGCAAAAACAAAAACAAATGCAAACAAAAACCCTGTGTGCTTTCACATTTAACTCTTTACCCCTTGGTCAGGCATTTGAGGCCCTTCCTAAGGTCCGAGGAGGCATTCCCTTTTGCAAAGTTTTTGCAAAGACTGCCTCCAATTCCTGGTTAACATCCCTGCCTATCATCCTTCTAGCAAATCACCCACCTGCTGAGCAGCTAGACCCTGCTCACAGGTTAGCATTTTCTGAAAGCCATTCCTGCCCCTCTAGGTATATTCTTGAGGTGATTTATAAGCAGGGGGGGGGTTTAGAACCCTTAAGAGACTAAACTCCTCTTGCAGTGACCATTCTTCAGTGTGTGAAGACAGACAGCATCCAGAATCGAACTGCTCGTGCACTGGGGAACTTAGCCATAGAACCCGAGAGCTGTGGGGACATCCACTCTGCAGGTAAGAAGGCCATGAGCATGGGCTTGAGATGGGAGGAGGGCTTCGGTATGCCCTTGCTTACTCTCTGTCCTTCCCTTTCCTCTCCAGGTGCTGTTCCCTTACTCGTTGAGAGTCTGACAGCCTGCCAGGACTCACAATGCCTGCAGAGTGTGGTGCGTGCCCTCCGCAACCTGGCAGACTCCCCCCAGCACCGCCTGGCCCTGGCACAGCAAGGAGCCATCCGCCCACTGGCTGAACTCCTGGCTGCTGCTCCGGATCCTGCCCTGACCTGGGGCCTGGTCCGCGCCCTCTTGGAACTCAGCCGAGGTTGTTCACGGGCCTGTGCCGAGCAGCTCAGCCTGGGTGGAGGACTGGGTCCCCTTGTCAACCTGGCTTCTCATCCCAAACGGGCAATACGTGAGGCAGCGATCTTGATCCTTGCCAACCTGTGTGCCCAGGGCCTAGTACGGCCTGCTTTGGGCAATGCCGGTGGGGTGGAGGTGTTACTTGGTGAACTCCGACGGCGCCGGAGCCCTACTGGGGCCAATCCAGCTTCCCAGCAGCCTTTGGTGCGAGCTGTATGTCTCCTGTGTCGGGAGGCCATCAACCGGGCCCGGCTGCGGGATGCTGGAGGTTTAGAGCTGCTGATGGGTCTGCTGCGGGACCCTCGTGCCAGCGCCTGGCATCCACGCGTTGTGGCCGCCCTTGTGGGCTTCCTTTACGACACTGGGGCCCTAGGCAGGCTGCAGGCTCTGGGACTTGTACCTCTTTTGGCTGGACAGCTGTGTGGTGAGGGTGGAGATGAGGAAGAAGAAGGGAGAGAAGCAGCTTCCTGGGACTTTCCTGAGGAACGGACGCCTGAGCGGGCAGAGGCAGGAAGCTTCCTCAGCCTCAGGTATGTCCTTACCTTAGAGTCTGGGAGGGTAGGCGTGAACTTTGGAGATTCTGTCTGCTCTGATGCTCTTCCCTACCCACCCCCTGTGTTATGACTTACTGAGACTAATTAACTCTAAGTCCTGATTTCTTCTTTTTCCACTTTCTAGTCCCCCTTAAGCATAACTCACCCTCCCTCTGGTCTGCCTTTTTTTGGTTGGTTGTGGGGCTTGAACTCTTGAGCTCTTCAGCTCAAGGCGGGTACTCCACCACTTGACCCACAGCACCACTTCCGGTTTTCTGGTGGTTCATTGGAGATAAGAGTCTCATGGGCTTTTCTGCCTGGGCTGGCTTTGAACCACGATCCTCAGATCTCAGCCTCCTGAGTAGCTAGGATTA